TTAGTCCTCGTTTACCAACAAACATCATTATAACATCCCTCATCCCCTAATTAATATTAGTAATAATCTACATCATTTATCATTAGTAAGCACTCAGCAACCAACAACCCTCTTATCATTATTTACAGAAAACCATTAGTAGTATTAATCATTCAACAACAAACATTAGTTGCAGTAGTTATCAGTAGTCATTTCCACCATCTAAATTATTTTCTATTATTATCCCTTTTCACGTGATCACACCCACTGGTGCTTTTCACACCATCAATCCCAATTATACCCCTTTAACATTTGCTCCACTGGGCTCCTTTATCCAAATTCTTAATCTTGAGCCATCTGCTAGCACATTTTTGTATTGATTGATCTAGGTCTGATAGAGACTACTATACTTAGTAACTCTATCTTGAAATCTGCCACACTCTTATAAATATTGATTTTAAGATTCCTTACATATTTGTATAGTACTATAGAGGGGCAGGTCTTTCAAACCACCCTTAAGTTGTGATCTATAGCCTTTCAACCTATTCCACAATTTATTTCCCCCTCACGGAACTACCATTTCAAATATCTTCCATTTGTCCCACAGGAGTCCTACAGCGCCCTAATATTATGCACCACCTGACCAAGTCTCATGATTTCAAATTTGTGTTTTGGAGCTCTGGAATCCAAAATAAGCAGCCACTTTTCACTGTCTACCTACTGTACATGATGTAGCTGCAGGGAACTGGCCACTGGGATCAAATTATACAGCTCATGACTCGTCAAGTTCTGTCCCAGTTTGCGAATCTGGCAAGCTCAATGTCCAGCCAAGTAACTTTGATCCAATTCATTTTATTATTTTTTTGACTCAGACTTGGCTCATAGCCCTGTCCAGAAGCGGCCCAATCTGCCCCCCCCCCCGGACAATGTGACTGAGTACAAAGGTGAACCTATATGAATCTGAAGATTGAACTTGCAAGGTTCTTGATCTTTTTGGTGGATGTTCCAATCAGATGCTGCAAGTAGGTACCCCACCACATCCTACTTAGAGCATCTCCACCGCGGTCCCTAAATCGGGTCCCAAAAACCTTGCATTTGGGGACCGCACTACCAGCTATACGGACTGAAGGTGCTGCGGCACACACCGCGGGTCCCAAGTTGACCATCAATGGGGTCGCTATCTGCTCCCCGCCCTCCCCCGAGCTTGATATTCCTCCAGATCACTTCACCACAATAGCTATGGACCAACTTTCCTTCCTGCAGACAATGCTCTCCACGCAATCAACCGTGCTCGCATCTTCAACTCAAATTCAACTGGCAACTCTTCAAGGTGGCGCGGCGGCAATTCAATATCAGCTTCAACAAGAACAAGAACGAGAGGAGGCAGCAAAGCGACGAAAGCATGGTGGATCTAGAAAAGGACGTTCTGCAAACATCGATCGTGATTTTGAGGCTGGATACGAACAATTAACCAAGGATTACTTTTCTGAGCGGGCACGATACAACGACTACCAATTCCGCCGCCGTTTCCGTATGCATCGAAGCCTGTTTCTGAGGATAGTCAACGATGTCACAGAATACGATAATTATTTTGTCCGGAAGTGTAATGCTCTAGGGAAACCGGGATTGTATCCCATTCAGAAGATAACATCTGCAGTTCGAATTCTAGCCTATGGCGGGGCCGGTGATGCAAACGACGAGTACCTACGTATTGCGGAATCTACATCGCTGGAGAGCCTCGATCATTTCACGGATGCGGTTATCAACCTATATGGCAGCCAATATTTGAGATCACCAAACGAGGCCAACATTAAACGATTGTTGTCAAATTCTAAAGAGAGGGGCTTTCCTGGGATGCTTGGTTCCCTTGATTGTATGCATTGGGAGTGGAAAAACTGCCCAACCGGTTGGAAGGGGCAGTACCAGGGTAAAGAAAAGGTATGTAATACATGTATTCACCATAATTATATTGTGCTGAAGAAATTATTGTTGCTTGCAGGTCCCAACACTGGTGCTAGAAGCCGTTGTATCCGAGGATCTATGGTTTTGGCATGCATTCTTTGGAATGCCAGGCTCTCACAATGACAAGAATGTTCTTGATGCCTCGCCTCTCTTCCAAAATCTCCTGAATGGCAACACTCCGCAGTGTGAATTCATCGTCAATGGAAATAGGTACAATCAAGGCTACTACCTTGCCGATGGTATATACCCCGACTGGTCTACTTTGATCAAGACAATCTCAAAGCCTCAGGGGCTTCGACGGAAGGTATGTGTGGTTTTCTTACTTTTGGTTGGGTCTACAGAAATTCTGATTGTTTTTAACTCAACAGTACTTTGCGAAAATGCAGGAAAAGGCCCGGAAAGATGTCGAACGAGGCTTTGGAGTTCTCCAAGCTCAGTTCGGGATTGTCGCAAGGCCGGCACTCTCATGGAGCCATCATAAGCTGCAAAAGGTCATGCGAGCTTGCATCATCCTCCACAACATGATTGTGGAGGATGAGAGAGATACTCCTCACGACCATATCTACAAACGTGTATCTCAATCAGAAACTACTCGGCCAAGTGGAGCGCGATCGGAAGACCTCTCGCTTTTTATTCGGAACTATCGCGCAATGAGAGACGCGGATAAGCATTTTGCTTTACGTGATGATCTCATTGCCCATCTGTGGGCACGAAAAGGTCAACTGGAGGACGAAATCTCGGAAGAGGATGATGGTGTTGTCTTCCCAGACGACTCCAGTGAATTGGGAGAGGAATCTAATCGTTCTGATTGATTGTACTCATCATCTGCTTTATATGTTTATTTCAATGTATTGTCCTGATCGATGAGACGTGACCTAAATGGTTTCCAATCACTTGTTTCACATTTCCAAAATAAATGCATCATATAACATTTCAACTGAGAAATAAAAATTGTGAGAATTGTGAGTGTTGAAAGTTTTGAGAATGAGCAAACCAATACTAAGATAAAAAAAAGCAATAAAAAAAAGCAATAAAAAAAGCAATAAAAAAAAGCAATAAAAAAAGCAATAAAAAAAAGCGATAAAAAAAGCGATAAAAAAAGCAATAAAAAAAAGCAATAAAAAAAGCAATAAAAAAAAGCAATAAAAAAAAGCAATAAAAAAAGCAATAAAAAAAAGCGATAAAAAAAAGCGATAAAAAAAGCGATAAAAAAAGCGATAAAAAAAGAGGAAATCCTATTTGCTAGTGTTTGGGGTCGGGTTGCTAGGTGCGTTTGTTGGGTTGGTCGATACAGACTGTTCTTTTTCCAACCTTGCCATAATTTTTGCTTGCTCGATTGTGTAGTATCTCTTCATCATGTCGCTTGCTCCGGTGAGATCTTTGCACATAATTGACTCATCGGCTAGTCGGTTCATCGCTGCTTGTTGAGATTCAAGAAACGTGCTTTGTTTCTTTGCGACTTCGGCAATATCGGAGTGAGCCTGAGCCATCTTCTTCAGGCTCTCCTGGGTTTTTTTGGCGGCTATTTCGGCGGTGTGGTCAGATTTGGCCCGCTTACGGCCAATCGGGCGAGTTAGAGGGCCACAAGTATCGTCACTTGAAGAATCCTTACCGCCTCCAGTGGTTTCTCCGATCGAAGCGTCGGTGCTTGTTGAGATGGTGCTGGGGTCGTTGGATGTCAAGCTGTCTGGCTCCTTGCGTTTGTTGGAGGTTGCCGCAGTTGTTTCTCTTTTCTTAACAAGGCCACGAGAGTAGTCGTTCCATTTCGGCGAGGTGATGAGAATCTCGTAGCAGCCCAGCAAGGTAAAGGGCTTCTCGTACAGTTTGGAATACATCGACATTGCCATGGTGAGTCGGTTGGCTGAATTTGTCCCGCTTGGATTCATCTGTTGGACTTGATTGACACAGCTGACAAACTTGTTGACATCCTTCTGAATCTTGTCACTCCAGTGATTCTTGAGACTCTTTGCTGATCGAGGCGCGTTGGGAATGTGAGTCGCATAGTGTCTAGCGATGGCTTCCCAGAATGCGTTGAAGGTCTGATCGGTCCCTTTCTTTGGATCTTCACTAACCTCAAGCCAAGAGTTACAGAGCTGGAGGTCCTCGTGTTCAAGGTAGGTTCGCGAGCGGCCTTTCTTATCCGATTCTTCCTCGGGCTCAGTTGGGTCGTTGGATTGCGTGGCGGGATTGGCAGTAGTATTGTTGGTGCTACTGGTATCTGCGGCGGGATTGGCATTAGTGTTTTTGGTGGTATTTGTGGAGGGATTGGCAGTAGTCTTGTTGGCGGTATTGGCAGCTCTCTTGCCTCGTGGTTTTGCCGGCTTCTTGGTGGGTTGTTGACCTTGAACAATGGTAATGTCTGAAGAGTCGGGAGCTTGGACAACTGAGATTTCTGATAAGAGACTCGGATCCAGAACATGTTGGGACGTGGTTGTTGCCATGGAGAGCTGTTGGTTGTTGGGTACGGCCATGGTGATGGCTGGGTTGGTAGATGGGTTGGCCGATGTGTCCAGAATAGAAGATAGGGGGTTTTGGGGGAGGTGGAGTTGTAGAAGGATGTGTGTTTCACAGGGGGAACACACAAGTTGTGTGTGATCCTCATTGATTTCAGCGTCCCTAGCCGATCCCTGGATCCAGGGTCTGGAGAGGGACCGAGGAGGAAATCCGTAAAATACGGACCCCGATAGGGACTGCGGTGGGAGGTGATTTTGGGCCCGGGGTCCCTAAATGCGGGATAGGGACCTGATTTAGGGACCGCGGTGGAGATGCTCTTAAGATATGTAGCACAATGGGAAGCCACCATCACCAAAGCGGTCCTGGTTGTGACTCAGAGAGAGGAAATCAAAACAGTGATTGTTAATGCTGTCTTGAGTGGAGGCTGAGTTCAAGCAGTGGATGAGCACAGTTCATCCAATACCAAGATTGCTGGAATGGTCCATTGAAGAACATTTTATTAGGTCAAGTGATAGATACAAGCAGATACATACATCAATCTTTGTTGGTTCAGTGGGATGAATACATAGAACAGTTTGATCAATGTATGGCAGGGCAGGTTAGTTTCTTGTTGGTGATCCAAAAAAGGAATCAGGAGGTGATTTTCGTTGAAACGTTTTCCGGATCGAGTGCATCAATGTCGAAGGATGACTTGAATTTGTTTGGAGTGGTGGAGACAAAGGAGGAGGCTGTACAGTCTTTGAGGGTGGTTGCTTTTGAGTTCAAGCATTCCTCATCAACGAATGCTATCCTCCATAAAACATAAAATAAGAAAAAATCAATCAGACCAACAACAACAACATCAACATCAACAACATCATCATCATCATCAGCATGGAAAACAAGAACCCATCAGAAGAAGAAACAACAGCAGAAGAACAGGAAAAAGAACAAGAACAACACGGACAAGAACCAGAACAAGATCAAGAACCAAAACCAGAACCAGATCAAGATCAAGAACCAGAACAACAGCAAGAACAAGAAAAACAACAACAACAACAACAACAACAACAAGAACAAGAACAACAAGAACAAGAACAAGAACAACAAAAACAAGAACAAGAACAAGAAGAGCCTCCTCAATCTCCCTCACCCGAACCAACCGATAGCACTTCAAGCAATCAACTGACTAGCCCATCAGCAGATCCAACCCAAAAACCACCCTCATCAGCACCTAGTAGCCCACTGGACTCAATCAAACTTGGATCAAATGAAACCGAACCGGTGAGTCAGAACTATAACCCTAGAAAATTCAAACGCTTGTCTCACTAACTTATCCCTCTCATCTATCAGCTCGATTTAAGTACCTCCGACCTCGCTATCGCATTGGAACCATTCGGCTATGGAAGGGATAGGCTCACCGGACAGAGATCAACCACCCTCAGGCAACTCCCAGATATCCTCACCAAGTTTCAAAACTCTCGGGATACCGTCTATTTCACTAAGGATGGCCTCAAACAGATCATGGACTACGCTGCAAGCAACCCAGAACAAGTAGTCGAAAACGATTTCCTCAACGGTCTCCTCCAAACCGCCAAACAGTACAACGCCAATCCTTCTCATCAAGAACCTTCAGAGCGGAACAGCCAATCTCCTTCCCCCGACCACCGTATTCGTACCACAGAGTCTCCCTCTAGCAGTAATGGCGATCGTCGAGGTGTCTACTACGGCTCGAATTCATCCTCTCCCGCTCCATCCGTATCAGGGGAACAACAGGACCAACTCTCCGAACTCAATCAAGCTGATAACTCATTCGATAGCAACCAAGAACACACCATCATCGCTCATGAGCACCCCCCAAGCACTTCCAGCTCTCAACTATCACCCCCTAAACTTATCCGCAAACCTCCCCCACCCGAGCGACACCGTTCGGTTCCAATCGGCTTTGGCGATACCTACCTCAAAAGACCTCGGCCACCAAGTAGGAGAAGCAAAGTCTCGAGCGTCGATTTGCCTTCAACTTACTCCACTCCCTCCAAATTCGCCCAACATCGTCCAACCTCCTCCACTCTCCGCACCCAGTCTTCCCCCGGCGCGGAAGCCGAACTAGATAGCAGTCAGGATCCCAATTCTAACCAAAGCCCCGAACTCCAGCTCGGTACTCCCTTCTCAGCCCGCAATCCTCAGTCGCAGTCTTTACACAGCTCGGCCGCACATCTGACACCCAACAACCTGTCAACTGTGATCTTCAACAACCGACAACGTGGTCTATACGATTCATCTGAGGACAGTCTGGAAGCTGAAGCCCCACCGGACTCGAATGAGAGTGCGCCGGACCCGACGGACATCATCCGACGGATCCGAACGGACCCCAGTAGTCGACCGAACTCGAAAGTGTACACTCGAGTCTGGGAATCAGGCATCGGCCTCGACGGCTATCCCACCCCACCCGCCGAGCTTCACACGATGATGAATGCTGAAGATCTGGTCCGAAGCTGCGAAGATCTGAAAACTAAGAACAAGGAACTCGTCAATCAGATCGTCGCCTTGGAAAAGATCCATGAGGACGAGATCGTCAGATTGACCGACGAAGTCGACGAACTCAAACAGGAACTCTCCAGTTGCAAAAAATCCGAAAAGGAGCTTGCAAACGTCTCCTCTACTCTTAGATATCAACTCACTAACTCGGATGATCAGATGAGTCGATTGAACTCGAATATGAGCCTCCTCGAAGATAATTATCATAAGATTAAGCTCAAATGGGAAGAGGCTGTTGGTAAGCCTATTATGGCTCTCTTCTTTTTTCATCCCTTTATGACTTTTAACTGACTTTTTCACTTCGACATGTTCTATTGCGGTACACTCCATAACAGCTGAATCAGAAAAACTCAGGAGGCAACTTAATCTTAAGGAAGAAGAACTCAGATGCGCCAATCGAAGCATTCAATCCCATGCTAGTGAAGTCAAAAAGGTGAGAAATATTATTTAAACCAACAAAAATAAGAAATGAGAGAAAGATTACTTACGACGGGGTTATGAATTTTGCAGTGGGAACTTGACCGACAGATGCGAGAAGATCACATCAAGAACTTGAACGTGGAATTGCAAGAACTCCAGACGACACGGGAGATCCTAGAAGAACAAAAGCAAGCAAATCTAGATTTGAAAGCGACGATTGACCGATTGAAGTCACGTGATTGGAGGAGCAAAGGGCGCGGAATGCGGC